CCCCCACCACGATTGCTATGCCATAACCCCCCCCCCCCAAAAAAAACCTCGTGCATTACAGCTCATCTTTTAAAGCAAAGATAACGGCAGGGATGGGTTAATGGTCGTAACAGTGGTTTGAGAGTTATTTTCCTTCCTCTTTAGCTGGCATTTTAATCTCCGAGACACTTTGCTGGCTGGCTAAGGATGGTTTAACCCCTCCTGCTCTTCTCCGCTAATGCCCGGTGTGATCCTTCACCGTGGGAAACCCTTTTCCTTAACCGACATCGGCAAAGCTTTGCTGGGGTGAAATATGGGTTAATGGTCGTAACAGTGGTTTGAGAGTTATTTTCCTTCCTCTTTAGCTGGCATTTTAATCTCCGAGACACTTTGCTGGCTGGCTAAGGATGGTTTAACCCCTCCTGCTCTTCTCCGCTAATGCCCGGTGTGATCCTTCACCGTGGGAAACCCTTTTCCTTAACCGACATCGGCAAAGCTTTGCTGGGGTGAAATATTTGAGAAGCTGGTGGCCCCCGTCATTGTCCCCCCCAAGGGAGTCCCCCACCAGAATGCGACCCCCCCCAGGACCTTCACTTAAGCCATGACTTGGCCAAGGAAAGGGCTTGGGATCATGGGCTTTCCTCCCATCCTTCCATCTATCCAAAAAAAAGGTCACTCCACAGGGAAGGGGACAGGGCTGCAGGTCACTGCTGGCAGGAGCTGGGCAGCATCAAGCCCCACATTCCCATGCGGTAGCAGGGAGCATCTCCCCACCACCATGGCCCCATGAAGCCACCTACCCAAGCCTGGAGCCATGCGGTGGCCATGGAGCCGTGCAGTGGTCCAAGCCTAAACCTAACACTGGTTGCCAAATGAGCTCACTAAAGCCTCTCGCCCAACAGACAGCAAATATTTCACCTCTTCACACCCTGGTTGAGTTCATGAGTATTTCTGCCTGGGCATAACGGGATGAGGAGCATCAGATCTGCTGTTGATCCAAGTGAAGGAATTAAAACTAAACTGCCCGATGACAGATCTCATTAGCGGTAACACTGGGTGATCCTCCATGCTCAGCTCCTGGAGCTTTCTACCTCACCTTTAGTGTTTTCTTTCCTTTCAGGAGAAAGCCTAGCACCTCCTTACTAGCCATGGGCCAAAATTTTAGCAGTCGTTCCTAAAGCAGATAAGGGTGAAGAGTGCCTAGGCCGGTGGTAGGACAGTGTCTGCTGGGAAAGGTCCTCCTCTGCCAAGCCCAGACTGTGATAACAAAGCTCATTGGACCCTGCAAGCCATAGTGCCGTTACGTTGGCTAGAGCTTACTCTATCCTACGTGTTTCAATGCTGATAGACAGCTCCTAATACATAACATGAAGTCAACAGTGAGAGCAAAAAAGGGTATTTGAGAGGTCTTCAATTCCTGTGATCTATTGGGGTTTGTGGGTTTTTTTTTTTTTTTTTTGGCCCAGGTTTAACTGTAGCGTGCTACCAACAGTGGAAGGATGATGTAGTACTGTCATTTCCAAATGTCCCATTGCTCTTTATGTGCTAACCCTTGGCTTTGCCAAGCTCAATGGGACAACCCTCTGATTATTTACTCTTTTTTTTTCCTTCTCTTTTCCTTTTATACTAACTCAAAGGGCAACCCAAAGTACTACACGGGAGAAATCCACCTTCCCCACCCCACAGCACTGGTGTTCAGTCTTCACCCACTTTGTTCCTCTTGAGGTTGGGAAGGTCAACCAGAGTTTTTCTAGATTTCCTTTAAAACCAGCAGAACCAAGCAAATGACGCCCATACAGCAGTGCTGGTGCCAACGCCTGGCCTGTCAAACCATCCAGGACCAACCAGTGGTAGGAAAAATCCTCTTGCTTGTTTCCCTAAGCTTGTTTCTCCCCATTTGGGCCACGCTTACGGGAAGGAGCTCCAGTAGCTCCTCCCAATGGCAGCAGAAGCCAAGCTGGGAGACACCACCAAGAGCAAGGAGGTCTCACCCAGGTGCCAACAACTGGTCACCTTGCTCTTCTAAAAGACCCTCCAGTCTGACCTCTTATACCACCATGTCCCAGTCAAGGTGACCCTCCAGTGTTGGTCTCCACTGCCCTCACCTCCATCTGGAGATGTGATCTAGGTATGACCAAAGCAGAGCAACCAACAGAGACATCTGGGCTCTGACTCAACGCCATGCATGGGTTGGAAACCCATGCCAGGCAGTGCCGGGAGGAATTCCCATCCACATCTCCTAACCTGACCTCTTTAAAGGCTCTGGATTTGGTCTGTTGTGACAACCTCGGAGCCCAAGAGACATGAGAGTTACAAACACGCCGATGGGTGAATGTAACTATTTTGGCACACTCGAGGGAAAAATCAAAACCCAATGACGTTTTTGTCTTAGGAAAAAAAAAAAAGAAAAACCTTGTTTCTATGCTGGGTTTAGTGATAACGATTTAAAAATAAACTGGCCACAAGCATTGTCTGCAAACATGAACTCTCTCTCTGCTGCCCTTGAGACAACTTATTGCTCTACTTGGACACCCCGAGGTGGGATGTCACTGGCCGCAGTCGGCTTCATGTCCTTGCGCCCTTGGGTAAGCCAAAACCCCCAGAAATTACCCCAATGCCCACAGCCTCTGCGTGCCCGTTGTCTCCCAGCCCGGTCCACGTCAACTGTGGATCACCTTCCTTGCTCTTGCCTTTTCTCAGGTGCCTTCCTGTGAGGAAGGCGACATATTTATTGCTATTGCTTCCTCTCCCCTGCAACTTCTCCCCACCAGCCAGGCAGAGCAGCTGGACATCATCTCCCTCTCCAGCCTTTCTCTATGGTGCCGGGATTTGTGCTTGGATGAACATTTCTCCTGGAAGTCTCCGAGCCCAGCTGTAACCCAAAGAACGGGGGGGCACCTCGATTGCCACAGAGGTGTCACAGTTTGGTCTCAGTCCTGCCAACGACATGGGTGCAAGGTGAAGCCACCCATCTTCCCCCTCGCCCTACCTCGAAGATTCTTCTCCATCAGCCAGCTGCCCTCTTTCCCCACACTACCAGACTCTGGAGAAGCAGTTCAGACCAATCCCTGGACATTGAGAGGTTCTTCAGACCAACCCCTGGACCTGGAGAAGCTCTTCAGGCCAAACCTTGGACATCTCCTTGCTTCCTTCACCAGCCGCCCGGCACATCTCTGCCCGCGAATGGTAGCCATGCAAGGAAGGAACTTCTCCCTCACGCAGCCCCGGGATGCGGCCGATGGGGAGCATCTCATTTTCCCAAGAGGTGCAAGGTGCTACCAGGGCACGCATCTCTCCGCTGCTCTCTTCCCATCATGCAAGATCCGTTTGCCCAGTTGGAAAAAGCAGACCAAAGACCCGATGGTGACCAGTCCTCCTACTTCCTAAGACAAGTGTGTTACATCGCTAATTATATTTATATTCTCTTACTCCTACAAAAGAAGGGATGAGTTCAGAATTTCACTGCAGATAATGCATTTATAATCTATCACGACAGCTATCTGGAAGACACCAATTTTCTTGTAATATGTTATGGAAGATTAAATAATTTATATTATTCAACTAAAAATACCCAAACCAAATTGGAATAAGCCTGCCTACCAGTGCTGTGCTTTTCACATAGTACCCTGAACATCAACCACTCTTACTAGCCAAAGAAAATCTAGGCTTTCGTCAACAACAACGACAACAGAAAAATAACGAAAAGAACCCAAACGAACGAGAAGTGGGGGATCTTTGCACCATTCAGCTGGGCAATGCTGGAAAAGTGAATATTCTGAGCTTTCAAATGATAGGACCAAAGAGAGAACTTTACTATTGCTCAGTGTCAGTATGTGTGTTACACAATTTATGTGGGTTGGGGAGGAGGAAGGGGGAGAGGAAAAAAAAAAAAAAAAGAGGCAGAAGATTAGAAAAAGCAGCTTTTACAAAAACCACTAAAGAATGCATAAAGTGACCCTTGCACTTTTTTTTTTTTCTTTTGTTCTTGCAAACAGACGAGGTGCTGCAGTACAGCGGCCACAGCACCGATGTAAGACTTGTGTAGTTGCATACAATGTTTGACTCCGGATCTGGAAGAGAGCAAACATATTAAAAACAAGGAGTTAGAAGGAAGTGGTGCAGGATCAGGCAGGGCTGTTCTCCTCTCCTCTGCACCCCTGCACCGCGTGCAGCATGTATAGCTGGTGGATACGGGATTTAACCATCCCTCGCACCACTCTGCGGGCAATTTCCTGGGCATGGAGCTGAGAAAGCAGCAGCTCGCCGGTGGTATCCAATGCACAGGATTAAAAATATGCAGACAGGACGCTCTCTGCTAATTGCACAACAATTTGTCATGGGCAAGGTTAGCCCGACGTAATGTACGCAGCAAGGAGACATTTCAGATAATCCCCCAGGGCTTGATGAGATCTGCGCTGCCTCCCCGTGCAGCATCGTTTGTTCCCCATCATGCGTGGCCCGTTAATTGGGCGTGATGGACCAAGGGCTCCAGCAACACGTGGAGGGCGTTTAAACGAGCAGCTGGGATTTCTGGGATCCTGAGCCCGACAGGAACCTGCAGCCGGTTGCAGGCAGCTGCATGCAACCCCGGTGCGAATGAACAGGCAGGGTGCAGGCAGCTGCACGCAACCCTGGTGCAAATGAAGAGGACAATCTCCCAGCATGTTTTAGCAGGGAAAAAAAACATATTCAACTGATAGGAAAGCTGGGGAGGGACTCTTTATCAGGGAGTTTAGTGATAGGATGAGAGGTAATGGTTTTAAATTGAAAGAGGGTAGATTTAGATTAGGTATTAGGAAGGAATTCTTTACACTGAAGGTGGTGAGACACTGGCACAGGTTGCCCAGAAAGGTGGGAGATGCCCCATCCCTGGAAACATTCCAGGCCAGGTTTGACAGGGCTCTAGCAACTGGATCCAGTGGAAGATGTCCCTGCTTATGGCAGGGGGGTTGGACTGGATGACCTTTAAAGGTCCCTTCCTACCCAAACCATTCTGTGATTCTATGAAAGAGCATAAAGCATCCAAATCCTTAAAGCATGAAAATTTCCACCCTCGCAGCGCCCGACTGCACTCAGAGCGGCTCAATGCCGCTGAGGTTGCCGGTAAAGCCTTGCACGCACTGAGCAGCAAGATGTAAGGTCAAGGCACGCCGTGCTTTGCTAACACCCTCCGTAACCCCAGGACAGCGAGCTGTGCAGCCATCCCTGCCGGGGAGCAGTACTAAATGGCTCTTCTGGAGTCAAAGCATCGCCCGGACAAAGGGATTCAGCAGCTTTGTAGGAAGGCGAGAAGCGATGGCAGTGCTCGGTGGTAATTAATCGACAAGGGCAGAGCAAGACCTGCAAAGGCAGCACTCACATGAATTGGCCAGTGGGTTTACCAGTGTGGAGGTACGTAGCTGTAGGTGGGGGTTCCTTGAGCCCTGTACGTTGGCACGGAAACTGGATGTGCTCCGATGGCGGTGTGTTGTGGGGTGGTCAACAAGGTTCCTGCAACAGCATGGAGAAATATTTAGCAAGGAGGAGAGTTCCAGCAGGGGAGCGGTACCCCAAAGGTACGGTGCTGCAGACCGCATCGGAGGGGCAGGCACAGCATCAGCTGCCTTTTTTTTCTTCTTCAGTTCTCCCAAATATTATTCTGCCCGTGAGACCTGAATCAAAGGCGTTTGACTCATGCGGTTGGTATCAGCCAGCACCATGAACGGAATAAACACACCTGAAGCTCCAGCATATTTTCCATGCTACTTTTGGCCCTTAACTCATCTTTTTCCAATTTTCCTTGTCCCTAAAGACTAGCAGCAGAGCTAGCCACTAACCTGCTGACGTCTTCCACCTGCTGAAGGTACCGGGCTAAATTGTAACAGTGGATCACTGCAGCCATCTGAAACAGCTAAGGACCAAACTGGAAGGAATGAGGGTTGCAGAAGATGAGAAAAAAACCCCAGACCTTCCAGGGAAAATTAAGATGAGCTTTGCCGCTCATCTCCCAAGGGCAGTGCAGCTCTTTTGCTTCATTTAAACCCACAGAGCCAAGCGCCTCAGGATGCAGCAGAAGGAGCGATCCTCTCCCAGCCAGGAAGCAGAAGGACTGCCTGGCGCAGCCTCTTTTAGTCTGCAGCTGATACGCAGAGGGATTTTAGGTGAGAATTTGCACAGTGCCTTCAGTAGAGCAGGGAGGGAGAATACAGCCCCAAACTACTCTGTTCTGGTTGTAACTGGCTGCTCAAAATAAATTCTCAGTTTTTGAGTATCTCTCTACAAATGCTACTAACTAAATTTTAAGACATCCCACGTGCATTAATTACATCTCTCCACTTCTTAGTATAAGCAACAGTAAATCTCTCAGAGTGGTTCTTGTCATACTCAGGCTGCAATATCTCCATTTGCAACAGGGACTGTGTCCCATAACAGAGTCCTGTTTCACAGCTAATGCAGATGCAAAAGGATGAATGATGCATTTCTTGGAATAATTCAATATACAATCCTACGAATTGTTAATGAGAGAAATACAGGCTTTGGAAAAAAGTAATGTGCTATCAATTGCAGTTTGAAGCAATCCTGCACATAAAATGCAGAGGATTTGGGATACATAAACCAAGGTTAATGTTCATTTTGTCAAATGAAAGCAAGACTGTAAGTATCCTAAAAAAGGAACTTGAGGATAGAAATACAAGATGGACAAACCTGGTTATTCCTCTACTTATGGAACAGACAGAGGAAAGAATAATATATTTAAGGATGCAAGAGTGCATCCCTCCAGAGTGAGCCACATGAAAGGTCTCCTCTGCTAACCTAAAAACTGAGTTAGATCAGTATCAGGAGCAAATGAATTGATTTTTGCCTGCAAAGGAGAGGTAACCAGCAAGCAAAACTAGCAGACGAAGCTTCAATTAGCTGTGTGCAAGGCGCTTCTGCAGCCTACACGTCGGATGCACAGAGAGTTTTTCATCCAGGACAAGCCTCCTGCACAGGTTGTTTGGATTTGTCCCACCCAAGAGATGAAACTACGGCTCAAAACACAATAAAAGATTCCTTCTTACCTGCTGACATTGCCATGGTGGTCCCAGCGACCATCCCCATGGCCACACCGTTGGTCCTGGGCGCAGCAACCGGGGCCGGATAGATGGCCGATGGGATGCTGTTGGGCTGAACCACGGTGGTGTGATGGATAACGTGAGGCTGTGCCGCGTACACTGGCTGGGTATAATAAGCTCCCTGTTTGAGAAGGAGAAAAAAAACCCACCATTGTCTTAGAATCATAGAATCGTTTAGGTTGGAAAAGACCTTAAAGATCATCCAGTCCAACCACTAACCTAACACTACCAAGGCCACCACTAAACCAGTTAAGGGGAGAGTAGCAATTTCATGTTTCCTGCCTTGGCGGCCGGATTATTTTTTAATGACAGTAAAAACTAGGAATCATTAAGTTTGGAAAGGACCTCGAAGATCATCAGTCTAACCATCAACCCAACACCACCATGCCCACTAAACCATCTCCTAAAGTGCCACGTCTGCCCGGTTTTTGAACACTGCCAGGAATGGGGACTCCACCACCTCTCTGGGCAGCCTGTTCCAATGATTGACTACCCTTTCCATGAAGAAATTTTTCCTAATATCCAATCTAAACCTCCCCTGACGCAGCTTGAGGCCATTTCCTCTCATCCTATCACTTGTTACTTAGACTGAAAGCACAAGCCAAAGCAGTGACTTGGAGCCCGGTATTTTATTCAGAGGCAATCACCAGCTCTGTGTGCAGTGGGTGTCAGCCTGGTAACACAGCTCGTGCTGTCAGCAAGGAGTTGCATCAGCTGCGACTGTAGATCCTGCTACAGAGTGAGCAGTGATGCTCTTGGGGCCGGTCCTGCCGGCTGTGGCAGCACAGCCCCACACCTGCCCCCCGTACCAGATGGGACATAGGAGGTTCCCAAACCCAACCCATATTGCGAGTGCGGAGCAGCTCTGCTGTGACTGTCCTTCACTTCGAAGACTTCAAGCCCTCAGCTCCTCCAGATGTGTTGCAGAAGCAATACTAAGACTAGCAGGCGTCACCGTAGCTGCTGGTACAAAGAGCTGCCCGTGGGACATGATTCAAGTGCTGCCAAAGGGCTGGTGCTTCCCATGAGCAAGCTCCTGTGCCTGGAGACCTGGACAAGCAAGGATGAAGCTGAACCTGTGGATATGTGGGATGGTCACCGGGATGGATGAAGGCAACGGAACTGGGAGGGGGATCAGCATCATGAGTCGGAGAGTCAGTTCGTCGGGGACAAACTGTGCTGCCTTCATTTGGTGGGATGAAATGAAGCTTGGACCCAAAAGACTTTGGCTGCTGGCATAGAAAGTGAACAGAGATGGAAGAAATGCAGAAGCCACGGCTCTTGGCTGATCCCAAGGTGCTTGCTTGCGTTCAGGAAGGGTGTCATCTCCTTGGGTTTCTGATGGGAGACACAGGGGCTCTGAAGTCCAGGCTGCTGAGACCCACGGGGTTTTGAAACAAGGCGGGAGGGATGGGTGGGGAAAAAACAGAAAGGAGCCAACAGAAAAAGCTCCACATCCAAAATAATGAAGGGCCTGAAACATGAGTGGTGCAAAGGAGAGAACTGCTATGCCTGGGACAGGCACGGACACTGCCAGTACCTGCAAACCAGGGACGGTCGGAAAGATTAGAGGGTTTGAAACAACAAAGAGAGACTTTATCATGCATTAGTGAAAGCTGTTAGAGAACCTCTGAAGGTATGGATTAAGGGGAGAAGGAGATGCAGGTGAACTATTAAATTACTGATTTCTTTCAGGAGCTACAACGGTTGATAGGGACAAATTGCAGATGCTGAAAGGCATTTCCTGGGGGAATGAGAAGGACGTGCTAAGATAAATTAGGCCCATGAAGAAAAGATGACTGAGAAATCAGCTGCAGAGAAGGAACATCCCAGGCGGTGAGTGCTGCAAGCACAATCTGCTGAAAGGATCTACCAAAGCATCTCCTTCTCAATGTTGTTCCCTTCCAGGCTGTTGAAAGTCTTATTTGCCAGTCCCTGGGAAGTACAGATGAGGAAATGGCATCTGCAAGCCCCTCTCCATCTCAGGCTTGCTGGTAGGTACTGCTAAGCAGATGCCATGCTCCTGCTGCAGCCGGGATCAGAGAAGAACCAGCGTGCAGGGATGGGTTTGGACCCCAATGGCTTATGCAACATTGACTTAATGGAAGGAGAGGTGACAGCGGACAAAATCAGCAAGAGGAGATGCTCGGGTCTCAGCAAGGTACGGAGAAACCACTCCATGAGGTTGTAGCTGCTGGAGAAGTTGGTTATTTGACATTAAAGAGGAGGGGAAAAGCCAGGGAAGCTGTAGGGCCAGATTGCTCTGAGAAGCTCATGATCTTCAGTGGGAAGGGGCATCAAGGTGATTTTCAGAGGACATCTACCCTAAATTGCATCTCTGCAGAGGATCTTGGTCCCAGCACATAGCTGGAGGCACTGGCAATGCAGGAGCAGAGAAGATGGTACTGGAAACCCATCCAGGTGCTCAGGGAGGAGCTCCTCCATGACGACATGAATCTGGGTCAGGCTTGAAGTAGCTTGTGCTGGTGAAGGTGACACAGGGGCTTTTCCATGGGAGGCGGCAGGAGGGCGATGCAAGTCGAGTGAGATGCCAACAGCCACCAGCAAGTGGACCTTGTGGTAACCCAGACTCATCTGTGGCCCTGGGGAAGAGTAGCGTTGAGAGCTGGGGAGGGTGGGGAGAGGTGGGTGCAGGGGCCATCCTGGAGCCAGCAAGCCCGGGCAGTCAGGCATGTGATTTTGGGGAAAGAGACCTGATTCCCAACCTAGCTGAGCCACAGGGATGCCACTGTGTTGACTGCGCTGCACACCGACAACCACGCAAGACCGTGTCTCATCCAGAGGATCCAATGGAGGAGGTGGGAGAGAGACCCCAGCATCCCAGAGACCCACCAAGCTCCACCATGACCACCTCCATCCCACCAGGACACGGGTGCTCAGCCCTGACAGCCAAGGACGAAGCCCTGCAGGCACCTCGGGCTGTACTTGCACACCACTGAGTGAGGTGGTGAGCTGCCGCGGCAGCTGGCGAGGCAGTACAGGTTCTGCTGTGGATAGGCACTTCTGATGGGGTACATAGCGGTTTGGTACGGATTCGGAGACGGCGAGTAGGGAGGAGGCGCGTTGTTACTCTGGGTCGGTGGAACCTTGTAGGGAGTCCCCGCAGTGTACCCTGGCAAAGACAAGAGTGGTCCAGGTTAGGGTGAGGATTTACAGCTGCAGAGCTGGTCCACCCAGCACAGGAGCAACCCGAGCTGCCATTCACGATGCACTGGCTGCTCGCTGGGCATCACTCAGCATGGAGGAGATGTACCAAGATGCACCAGCATCTACTGACATCCCACGAAACCCACCAAGCCGAGACCTCCAAGTCCGGCATCCAGCCCCTGGCTAATCAATCACAGCAGCTGGAGCTTCATCCTCCACCCAGCCCGGCAGTGGCTCTTCCCTCGCTGCCTACACCGGGACATAGAGCTGAGGAGTATCCCCAATGGTCAAGGCATGACTTGATGGGACTCAACCAGCACTTAAATCACCTAAGGCAGCAGTATCCCCACACCTACTTACCCTTCTCTATACATCTACTTGATGAGAATAATGTTTTTCCTTCTCTCCTTCCCCGATTTTTGTCCTTTCATCTTTTTTCTTGGGCAAAACTAGAATTTAATTGCTGGAGGATCTAATTTCATGGCACAGTATTGCCGTCCCCTGCCTATATCCTCAAGCAATGACTGGAAAAGCAGCAACACCGATGGTCCAAACCTTAATATTAAAGTGAAAATGATGGATGCGTTTAAGTATTTCATCAAGGCGGATAGTGCCGAGCAGTTTCCTCTCCTGCAAAGGAGGGCTGTGACCATCAGCTCACCTTGCAGGCCGGAGACGCAACCCCAAGGGATGCTCAAGCACCTTTATACTTGTCCCACTCCCTGCAGGCCCTTTGCATTAGTGACAAAAGCTGCAAATCTGCTTTATTGCCATTAAGAAGAGACATTCATCCTGGGCTGCATCCCCAGCAGCGTGGCCAGCAGGGCGAGGGAGGGGATTCTGCCCCTCTGCTCCGCTCTGGGCAGACCCCACCTGCAGCCCTGCGCCCAGCTCTGGGGCCCTCAGCACAAGGAGGGCACGGAGCTGTTGGAGCGGGGCCAGAGGAGGCCACCAAAATGATCCGAGGGCTGGAGCCCCTCTGCTCCGAGGCCAGGCTGGGGGAGTTGGGGTTGTTCAGCCTGGAGAGGAGAAGGCTGCGGGGAGACCTTAGTGCGGCCTTGCAGTGCTGAAAGGGGGCCAATAGGAAGGGTGGGGGCAATCTTTTTAGCAAGGCCTGTTGTGACAGGACAAGGAGTAACGGTTTTAAACTAAAGAAGAATAGATTTAGACTGGATATGAGGAAGAAATTTTTTACGCTGAGGGTGGTGAGGCACTGGCACAGGTTGCCCAGAGAGGCAGTGGAGGCCCCATCCCCGGAAACATCCCAGGCCAGGTTGGACGGGGCTCTGAGCACCCTGCTCTGGTTAAAGCTGTCCCTGCTCACTGCAGGGGTTGGGCTGGGTGATCCCTAAAGGTCCCTTCCAACCCATAGCATTCTGTGATTCTACGATTCTATGATTTGCTCTGCTGGGTAAACAGGCACGGCAGGCTGCTGGCAAGCTGGGAGGAGCAGCCGGGGCTTGGGAGGGCAGCAGTTAGGCAGGCGCAGGCAGCTGGGGAAGCGTCCCTTGCAAGATTTGTGATCCTGCTATGGCAGATTGCAATTTTTGTCTGTCTTCTGTTTGGACATAAGGAAAAGAAAACAGACTTCAGCATCCCCCAGTCTTCCCCAGCATCCCACCAGGCTGTTTAGCTGGAGCATCCAAGTCCCAGATTTATACTTTATCGAAGGTCTAAAGAAACCTTAACTTATCTTGCAGCATTTAGGAGATACTTAGTACATGGGGAACAAACTAAAATGAAGGATCCTTTCCAAAACACGGAAATTTGTCCCAAAAAATAAACCTACTAACCTAACAAAAAATAACCTAAAGGTTAACGTGATATTAGCTGACCTGCTGGCTGTGGGTGTCACTTTGGGTTTTTGCTGCTATTTGCATTAAGTTCTGAGCTGTCTGGTGTTTTTAAAATTACATTTTCCTTTCAGGAAGATCCAGCGGTACCAGCTCAAGATCCTCTAATGCAAGTCTGATTGTATTTGTCTTTTTTTTTAAAGGCTTTCCCTGGAGTGAGGACATCCCGTAAGGATCTCCGCTCTTCTGCTTCCTTTCAAGGTACCTTCCTGTCTGTCGACTTGTGATGAATATGGGGTTGACCCCCCCATACCCTCCACCAGTTTTGCTCTCCAAAAGGGAAGGGGTGGCTTTAAGCAGGTCCATGATAGCGCTGTATAATCCAGTTCTTGTTACCTGGCAGCGAAGTACCATAAGACCTCATGCAAGTACAGCATCTAAAGGAGGTGCGACCTGCCCTGAGGATGGAATTTCCCTGCACCACGGATACGTGGCACCTGAATTCCCAACCTTCAGAGGCATTTCCAAGGAAGGGGCCATGAAATTGCCCCTGAAATGTTATTACTTAAGTGCTAAATTGGGGAAAAATCCTCAAGAATACTTTAAGTTGTGCTTTAAGGGTTTTTTTTTAGGGTAGACTAAAAGCTGAGCTGCTGCCATGAGACGCCCTGGACTGCATCAAGTGTGCCACGAAGGCTTCAAGGTGTTGGTCACAGCTTGATGAATGGTTAAAAAAAATGGAAATGGTAAAAAAAATCTGCTTGCACAAGCAAGGAAAAGCATGTGGGGTGAGATGGCTGGTGAGAAATTGTAGCCAGATCTTGCAGGAGGGCTGGGAGAAATCATCCTTAGAGCAAACAGGCCCCAAAGACTGTGTAGGATGGAGAGGAGAAGTCAAGGCTCAGCCTGGTGATAAGACATCTAAACACTCAAATATAATGAACTAATTTACTCAACCAGTGTTCAGGGCAGCAATTAATGAAGGCCAAGATTTCAAGTCTGCTAATATCTCATATTATCCACCCAGCACTGAAACAGCGTGAAGATAACAAGGAGCCTTCTAGGAACTCCCAAACAGCATCTCACCGCCTCCTGATTACTGCAGATTGGAAAAAATGTGTTAATTAAACAGCGGAATAGCCGTGACTCTTTTTCTGACTCACATTAGCAGGAGAGCAACTATCTTTAAATGAGAGATGGAAGCAGCAAGAGGAAATGCATGTTCAAAACAGCCGTATTCACCACAGCAGCAGAAGTGGAGGCTCCTCCATCATGAGGTCCTCCAGGAACCCAACAACATCACCCACAGACCAGCCAGCTGCCTGTTTTTCAATCTCATGCATTTTTTTTTTTATTCTGAACTCATTTTTTCAAACAAAGACCTTGGAGGCTGCCAGTTCTCAGCATCACGCTTCATTTCTGATGGGTATCTGGAGATGTGGACCAGCTCAAGGCTGCGTGGTTTCACCGCCTTGAATGCTAACACTTGCTGTGGTTTCCCAATTGCTGAATCACAGACAATTTAGCTACGATATTAAAAAAGGTATTAAATGTAATAGTCCAGGCAGATGTAAGCTTCCATGTTTATAAACTGGGAAAAAATAGAACAATTTGTGGGTAAAAATGAAGCATAATCAGGTTTTAATGACACAAGATGATGGATGCTCCTCTCGGAAAAGCGTGTCTGACAGCTAATTTTAAAGCCTAATTATGACTATCTAACACCTTATTAGGATTAGGAGGCTGGCATGGCCCGTGCTATTGCCGCTTCGCAGTTCAGCAGCAGGCTGGGATTTTAAAAGCAATAGCGAGCTTTTAAGCTCCAGCTTCTATTAAAATTGCTGATTAAATTCCTCGTGCCACTCTAGAAATCTCAACCTTATTGATCCTGCAACAAAGAAGTGCCCTGAATTGCACAGATAAATTTTTCTACATTAACTCTAAGGTTGGTAGGGGGAAAAAAAAAAGCTTTCTGCTGAATTTTGTATTACCAACTCCTCTTGTTTCCACATGAAGGGTTCACCACAAGCATAATTCCTTAGATGGATAAGGAATTGGTTGGATGGCTGTGTCCAGAGTTACAGTCAATGGCTCAATGCCCAAGTGGAAACCAGTAACGAGTGGTGTCCCTCAAGGGTCAGTACTGGGACCAATATGATTTAATATCTTCATAATGATGTAGAGTGTGGGATCGAGTGCACCCTCAGCAGGTTTGCAGATGACACCAAGCCGAATGGTGCAGTGGATACACTAGAGGGAAGAGATGCCATCCAGAGGGACCTGGACAGGCTTGAGGAGTGGGCTGAGGTGAACCTCATGAAGTTCAACAAGGCCAAGTGTAAGGTCCTGCACCTGGGATGGGGCAATCCCCAGTATTAATACAGACTGGGGGATGAATGGATGGAAAGCAGTCCTGCAGAGGCTTGGGGGTACTGGTGGGTGACAAACTGGACATGAGCTGTCAATGTGCACTTGCAGCCCAGAAAGCCAATCATATCCCAGGCTGCAGCAAAAGAAGCATGGCCAGCAGGTTGAGGAAGGTGATTCTGCCCCTCTACTCCACTCTGGTGAGACCTCACGTGGAGTACTGTGTCCAGCTCTGGGGTCCCCAGCACAAGGACATGGACCTGTTGGAGCGGGTCCAGAGGAAGGCCATGAAAATGGTCAGAGGGCTGGGACAGCTCTCCTGTGAAGAAAGGCTGAGAGAGTTGGGGTTCTTCAGCCTGGAGAAGGTGGCGGGCAATGGTTTTAAACTGAAAGAAGGTAGGTTTAGACTGGACATTAGGAGGAAATGTTTTATGATGAGGGTGGTGAGACACTGGCACAGGTTGCCCAGAGAAGTTGTGGAGGTCCCATCACTGGAAGTGTTCAAGGTGAGTTTGGATGGGGCTCTGAGCAACCTGATCTAGGGGAAGATGTCCCTGCCCATGGCAGGGGGTTTGGACTTTTGACCTTTGAAGGTCCCTTCCAACGCAAATCATTCTGTGATTCCACAATTCTGTGATTCTCTAAAAATGGATTTGCATTTTTTCAGTAACTTTTTCAGAGGTGTGTCTAAGGAGGCTGCACTTGGCGCACTCCCAGCCCTGGGAGCAGAAGGCAGATCCCACAAGGCGGGTGCAGGACAGAGCTTGGGGCTCAAGCCGCAGTCGATTGTGGGCAGGAGTAAGCAGCTGCGAGCAGCTCTGGGAGGTCCTACGTGGTTGCATGGCCCAGTTGAGTCTGATTTGTTCCCAGTGTCTGGTCCTGCCCCTGCCAGCGCCCTCCAGTGTGGCTCATCCTCTTCCAGCCTTTCACCTGGCTTTATTATCTGGACGCTCTCCCTGTACCCAGGGGGCTGGAGGAACAGTTTTGGCATGGTGAACATGGGAACATCACAGGGGAAGATGCCATGGTGTGGACACCAGCATGGGCAGCTGCCTGGTAGGCTTGCATTGCCTCTGCCGATGTCCTCCCCAGCACATCGTCATTGCCACCACTATCCTCACCAGCCAGACAAAAGCAAACAGGAGGCTCTGGGCAGAAATTACCATAAAATCGATAACCTTGCTCACTACCATGTGCAAACGTTTGTGTATATGACCCCCCCCCCAATCTCAACTGGAGCATCTAAGCAAGAAAACAAAATACCTCAGGCAAAACCAAGCTTTGAAAACCCACCGTTAAAGGACAAAAAGCCAAAAGGCAAAGGCATGTCCCCACGCTGTAGGCAAGGCCAGGATGAAGGCACCTGGGCAGCCCCTACCCAGCCTTTAAGCTCATGCATGTCTTGCCACCATCCTTCACTGCAGGTTCACAGCCCAGTTGAGCCCTCAGCACCCCTTCTGTCTTAGTGGTGTAGATGTGAGGTGGTACTGAGCAGCTATTGCACATTTATTCGTATAACCCTGTTCAGCGTGCGGCTCCAGTCCGTACTGGTGGGCACTATTCACGCTGGGAACAGAAGGAGTCATCTCCCAGGCTTCTCCTTGGCTCTCCTCCATCCAGATCGGACACTGATGCTCACGAGTAAGCTCTCACCCCTCTCCTGCCATGGGATACCTGGAGAAGGCTGTTCTCCCAAGAACAAAACCTGGGTGAGGTGAGATCGAGCCGAAGGACAGAACCAATTTGGGATGCCCAACCTGAAATGCTTCTGATTCTTCAGAGCCTGCGCTTCAGATGGCATCTCCCAGCAGAGCTCTGGAGAAGCCAACTGCAGCTATAAGCCTGAAGCATCGCTGCAAATCAAACCTCAAGGCTTTACATATGTCCAAATTAAATGTGCCCAAGCCAGTTCTCTGGAATCGAGGCCAACCTGCATGGGTCTGGCTGGTGACCACAGTATTGAACTCCTTTATCACCCACACGGGGTGGCCACAGCCAAATTTTGCCCCCAAACCCTTTCCCGCCCTGGTACCTGCTCTTGCCCTCTCTGATTTTGAGGGAGGAATCTCACCTGCAGCAGCCCGGAGGTGCAACGGGGAGGAGAAATCCCATCCAGGCATGGGTTGAACTCCGAGGGAATTTTGCTGAATAATATCTAGGTTTCTACTAATTACGCACTGAGATTTTTCAGATACTTACAACTCGGTCAAATCTGGTCTGGCGTGAAATTAGGTGCAATGCAAAGCCCACGCACCATGTCAGGCATACAGCTCCTACCCCAAAGGATGGTAGGGACATCCCTTTGCAAATATAAAGTCTCCCAAAGGCTATTAATAGGTTTATTTTTAATAAGTCTTTTCATCAAAAAAGGAAAACAATATTTCTTCCTCTCATCTCATTCTGTAAATGATTTAATTTAACGCAAAAAGGGAGCCTGGAGCAGACGGTGAGGAACACTTCAACCCACGTGTGTGCATGGGCGCAACAGTCCCAGCCTTGCAAACATGGCCCATGGAGGGTCACTTTAAGATACTTCATATTTTTGTCTCCAAATACAGCTGGGAATTTCTCCAGATCCCAGGGCTGTTTGGAAGCACCAGTGGTTAATTTTGCATTTTGAACCTAGGAGCGGTCCCACCTCATGCTTGCAGCACGCCCCACGTTAGCCGGGCTCCAGATTTAGCAGGCAATGTGAGGACAAGAGCAGGCAGGAGCAGTTGGGCAGGGGCCAGAGGACACCCCACATACCAGAGGAAG